TGTACCGTCCGCCTATAGGAGCAAGAGTAGAGAAAGGTAGGTCAGAGAGGGACTTTGAGACCACCCAATACCTAATTCCATGCCCTGAGGATACCACCTGCTGGCCCTAACATGATTCCCAAAAGAAAGGCTCCTCTCCCACTGGCCAATCACCCACCCTCTTACTGACCTTCCCCTCCACTGCCCACATTGCCCAACTGACCAGTAGTCAGGGTCATCCATCTTATCCAGGAAGTGATCAAGTTCATCTCGGCTACGGAGAGGTTTATAGATTCTTTTCCCATCGAGGTCATAGCCAATGTGGGGAAAATCCTCATACCATTCCAGAGGGATATTCCCCACTGTGTTCCGGATGTCCTAGGTAGAAGTTACAAAACAGGGTAGAGACTCACAGGTGGGACCAAGTGTCTACTGGGGAGACTATCCTACAGTCCCTCTGGCTGCATTCCATCTTCTGGGCTTGCCTCTGTCTCTCCTGTCCCTCAAGGGTTGAGGATCTGCCCATTTTGTTTCAGCCAACGTTTTATGTTGTATAGTTTCCAGATCTGAAAACCCCACCTCCCTGTCCCTTCCTCCCTCTTCTATTCAGACCCTCCCTCCATTTCAACCACTCCCCCAAAAAAGCATTGGATTTCTTGGCCATGGCCCTGGGAAGCCACAGCAGTGACCTCATTGCCCGCTTGCTCACTGCCCTGGCATGTGGGCCAAGTACCTACTGCCAGGGTTGGGGGCATAGAGCCAAGAGCCATTCACTACAGGGCAGAAGGGGAGGAGGGGGTGCACGATGTGGAGACAGGCACAGAAAGACAAATACTAACAGCTTATCCCGCCCAACTCCAACATCTCTCAGTTTCCAAAGGGGCAGCATTCTTGCCCGATGAGAGTTCTTCCCAAGTGGGAATCCTGCAAGCTTCTGACTATACCGTTGGCTGGCTGGCTGGCTGGCTGGCTGGCTGGCACTGAAAAGGGAGGAGGGAGTAGTAGGGAACACAGGTGTCTCCCACACCCAAGACAGAGATGTAAGCTCTCCCATGGAATTGGACGGTCTGAATCCAAGCCCCTCCCCCCCACCATCTGGTCTCCATAAACACCCCTGAGGAATAAACACCCCTGAGGAACACACACCCCATGGGGCCAAAAGGATGGAGGACTAAAGGGAATAAGACCTATCTGGGGTGGGGGGGGAGAGAGAAGACTTGAATTCTCTTCAACATTAACAGCCCATCCTGATTCCTAGTAATTTTGGGAAGAAAAAAGTTCCACCAACAGGGCACCAAAATGGGTCACAAAGACTGCTTTAAAACTAGAAACTGTCTCTGTGAGAGAATCATGGCATGGAGAAGGGAGCCTGTCTCTTCTCTCTGCTTCCACTCTCCGGTAGCAGCAGAAGCTGTTCTTGGATATGGCCTCCTTTCCTCCCCCCCAACCCCCAATCATATTCCCTTCTCTGAGGATTCCGGGAGTGAGCTCAGCCTCTATGGGCTGTCTCTTCCACCCCCACCCTATCTTCTCTCCTTCGAAGATCTGCCGTCACCACTCTGCACCCTCCCCAATCCCCTCCTCCCCAAGTCTGGGAGCTGAGCTTGGCCAGAGTCAAAATTGCATTCCGAGACGCACATTCCTGGCAGAAGCTCCCGCCAGCCACCACTACGCACACTGCTCCTCCCTAGTTAAAGGCATCCTTCCCCAGCCTCGGATCCCATGGCACTTCCTTCAAAAGCACAGCACATGTCAGGCCGGGGGGGGGGGCCTGGGAGAAGGATCCTACTAGGTGCTTGGGGGGGGCGCAAAAGAATGGGAAAGGGGATGGGACTTCTGAAACCCTAGGACAGGGAAAAGATCAGGGTCATCCCCCTTGGAGCTTAGGGGGTAAGGGAAGAGGCATATCTTAGGACAAATCTGTGGGTCCGTGCCTGGAACTTCCCAATCCTAGGAAGAGATTATTTTATGGTGCTATCCCATATGCAGTATGGCACAGCGAATAGAGAGAGCTGGCCTAAAAATCTGGGTTCAAGTTCTGAATTGGACATAGTGGCTGTGACCTCAGGCAAGTCATTTAACCTCTCAACATCCTTAGACAACTCTCTAAGACTCTTAAGTTGAAGAACAGGTACTGATCTGCAGAGACAGGAGATTCCCCATCAAGAATTCTCTAAACCAGCAAAATCACATCTGGCTCCCTGTGCCTTTAAAAAAAAAATCCCCTTTACCAGGTGTCTTTCCATCCCTGGAGGCTGTGTGTGTATATGTATGTATGTGTGTATATTCTTTGTGTGTGTATATGTATGCACACGTGAGACAGAAAAGGGTATGTGTAATTGAAATGCTATGTAAGTGCATGACAAAGTGAGCATGTGTCACGGAGTGTATGATTAATCACCCATAGTTCTACAGCACTCTGAAGTTTACATGATGCTTTTCTCAAACAACCCTATGAGGTGGCAGACAATGAATCAACAAGCATTAGGTGCTTTACACTGTGCTAAGTGCTGGGAGAAAAAGAAAAACAGACCCTGCCATCAATAAGCTCACATCTGAATGAGACAAGTATGTACATCTATGATCTATGCAGTTTAAAAGGGAGGTAATCTTAGAGAGAAGGCCTATAATGGAGAGAAACCAGGAAAGGCCTCTTGTAGAAGGCCTTGAAGAAGCTACAAAAACCATAAGGCAAAGGTAAGGGGAATACCTGTTCCAGGGATGGGGGACAGCCAGTATAAAGGCATGGGAACAGCAAGTGTCACCGATGAAAGAGAAAAGGAGGAGAGTAAAGCATAAGAATGGAGAGTAAGGAAGAGGCCAGGTTGGGAAGAGCTTTAAGCGCCAAAGAGGAGCCCATGGAGCTCATCAACAGGGACATGCTCAGATAGATGCTTTAAAGAATCCCAATGAAAGTTAAGGAGAGGACAGATTTGACTGGAAAAAGACTTGAGGAGGAGAGCCAGCAGCAGGCCACTGCGATGGTCCAGGCATGAGGTGATGATAACCACAACTAGGACTACTGTGGCTGTGGGCCCGGAGAGAAGGGGATATAAACATTCAAGGGATCTTATGAAAGCAAAAATGACAAAATTTGGTAACAGACTAGCTAGGTGGAGTTGAGGATGACACCTAGGTTTTAAGCCCAGGTGACTAGGAAGATGGTGGCATCCTCTCCAGAAATAGAGTTGTTCAAGGTGTCCATGAGGCAGTTGGTGATTTGAGACTTCATAACTACCTCAGGAGCTGGATACAAGGCTGGATATAGAAATCTGGGAATAATTTGCACAGAGGCAATAATTGAACCCATGGGACCTGATGAGATCACCAAATGGTAGTACAAACTCTTACCACCCACCCCTACTTCACAGATGAGATGGAGAAAGATTAAATGACTTGTGGAAGGTGGGATTTGAACCTAAGTTTGCTGACTCCAGCAGGAGTGAGAAATGTATGATTTTGTGTGTGCATGCGTGTGCGCGCACGTATGTGTGTGTACATGTGTGTGATTGAAACTAACAACACAAATCAGAGAGTATATTTTGGACAGAAAATGTATGCTGTTTGATTGAGGGACTGACACTATTATGAGAGTTTGCATATGACTAAGAAGACCATAAGATAGTATGTGTGAGAAAAATCATCAGCTTCTCTGTTGTTGCTGACACTATTTTCACGTGACAGTGACTTAGAGATAGTATATATGTGAGATATGGGGGGAGACCATTGTGTGTGGACAGACATAAGATGTGTATAAACTACTGGCCTGAAAGAGATGGTGTGTTATGTGAGAAAAGGAATATGTGTGTGCATGTGTTACACATAAAAAACACTGTCCCCTATCTAGCCTGCTTAAAAAAAATTATCCCTACCTCTAACTCTGGGACCTTAAGAGAAAAAGGGAAGCCCTTGGCCCTGAAGGAGTTAATACTCTGGCCATTCCTCATACAGCAGCTGGGTTAGTTTGGTCATGCTGGGGTGAGTGTGTGTGTTCAGTGGGGGGGGGGAGAAGAAGAAGGGGAAGGGGGGAGAGAAGAAGAAGGGGAAGAGAGAAGCAGGTCACTGATGTTATTTGACCCCCTTCTTCCCTCCCAATGGTCCTGAGAAGACTCTCGTGGGTTTCTTCCCTCACAACTGCCCCAACACCTTTCCATTCCTTAATGCCTCTCCTACACATGTACTCAGGGCCCCAACTCTCACCCCGGCACAGGAAGGAGGCACCCCAATCCCATTCCTCACTGCTACAATGACCAGAAAAGGCCCTTCTCCAACCAGCACTCTGACCTTACCTACCATCTCTTACAATAAACCAGAACCAACATTGTTTCCCAATAATGGTTAGGGATGATTCCTCTACCCCAGTACTGATCCAGGAGAACCTCCGCAACCCAATATTGAGTCAGAGAAAACATTCTAATCCTATCAGTGACCAGAGCAAGTCTTCCTCCCTTCCCTTCCTCCCTCCCCTCCCCCACTGTCCCTACTAGGGAAGGTGCTCTGAGGATTGTGGCTGCCCCTGTGGCCCCAGTTCCAAACAGAATAACAGCTAGGCAGATGAGCTATTCTATGGAGGTGCCCAGAAGGGTGGCCCCTTTTCCACGAGGGAAAGCCCTGACTCTCTTCTACACAAACACATACCCGAAGGAGGGAGGGGAAAAGGGAGGCTGTGGTACTCTGAGGAGCCCCCCTGAGCCAGTTCCAGGCAGTGGGAGGGAGCTGTGTGTGCTATGGGGGAGGGGCTAGGCTGACCGCCCTGTGCTGAGCTGCTGGCGGATGCTGAGGCTATAAAGCTGCTGGCTCCTGCCACGCTCAGTCTTAAGATGCACATGTGTGCTGAGGAGACAGCACTAACAGCAGCAGTGACGAACTGCTGCCATAGAAGCCTCTACCTCAAGCCCTGAGAGAACTAGGACTTAACTTCTCCTTCAGAGACCTGAAGGCGTGCGCCCCTGCCCACAGAAGACATCACTGAACAGAAGACACCTCCGAAAGGACCAAAAGGAGAGACGCTGGAGGCATGAGCTGTGGTCAGAGTTGAGGGCCTGTGGCCATTACCCCTCCCCTTTAACCTCAATCTCACTTGGTGTCCGCGCATCTTCCCCACCCCAGCCTTCACCATGTCCTTTGCCATGCTGCGCTCAGCACCCCCAAGCCGATACCTATATCCCGAGATCAGCATGCTGTCAGAGGACGATGAGAATGGGAGTGAGAGTTCAGGCTCGGATGAGAAACCCTACCACCTTGATACTGATGCCTTTGGCCTCAAGGGCTCTAAGCGGCGTGCAGGAAGCAAGAAGGGCAATAGTAGTGGGGGGCGTCTGAGCCGAGAGCCCCGGCAGAGGCACACAGCCAATGCCCGAGAGCGGGACCGCACCAACAGTGTCAACACTGCCTTCACTGCCTTGCGCACCCTCATCCCCACAGAGCCTGCAGACCGCAAACTGTCCAAGATTGAGACGCTGAGGCTGGCATCCAGCTACATCTCCCACCTGGGCAATGTGCTGCTGGTAGGTGAGGCCTGTGGAGATGGGCAGCCCTGCCATTCCACACCAGCCTTCTATCACCATGCTGGGGGAGCTAGTCCTCCACCCCCACCTCCACCACCTCGGGATAGCGAGAACTCCCAGCCCAAACAGATATGCACCTTCTGCCTCAGCAACCAGAGAAAGTTGGTAAGTGGCAAATTTGCTTTGGAATTATATGCATATGTTTGTTTATGAGGGGTGGTGTGCTCAAAGTCTAGAGAAGAAAACCATGGTTCCCAGCTTTTTCCTGGGGCTGGGCTGGGGACCACAAGAATTTTCAGTTGGAGTAGGCTAGAGGAAGTAGTCTCACACTCAGAAGGTGCTCACCATGGGTAGGCTGGGAAGTGGCTAAGCAGGGTGGTTCCTAAAAACCTCCAAAGGCAGGCACTGATCCTTATCTCTTATTATCCTTATTATATCATCCTTAACTAGCTAGAGACTGAAGTGATAAAGTGACAACTCTACTTGGCTCTACTCACATCTAGGAAGCTAAACTGTGACCTCTCCCTGCCCCACAGGGTCCAAAGGGCTTCCAGGGGAAGCACTGCCCAAGTCAGTTCCATAGAGATGGACAACAGATCATTGACAGTCTCTCCCCTACCTGGCCCCGCTGGGAGACAAACGAACAGAAGTATGACCATCTTACACCAACACCCCTTAGGCTAGGATGATCAGCTATGGGGCTTGAGGGTGGGGTAATTCATCCCATTAATGCAACCCAGCTTCCTTGGAAGCTAAGGCCTGGGGGAGCCCATTAAATCCAAGCCAGCTGTGGCAGCTACAGAGCTCTCTGAAACTCATCCTCCAACAGGATCTGGGCTAAGGTGCTTCTACCTAGAGGCCCTCTGACCCAACCACATTTACATCCAACCCTAACCCACTATCCGGTCCAACCTTACAAAGGGTCCTGCTCTTTTGTATCCCTTCTTCAAGGGACCCCACAAAGCCAGCTCTAGCCTCCCAGTCACTCCACCACATCCTTCTGCTTCCCCATCTCTGTTCATACACCATGTGCATTACCACGGGAAAGGCCTCCTCTCCTATGCCTCCAACCCTCATATATTATCACCATAGGACAGATAAATCCCCATCCAGGTTAGGACCCTATATCTTCCCTTTTGCTAACCAGAACCATGAGACTTATGAGACAAGTTTATGGGCACCTACAATCCCCCAGAGTGAGTGCAGATGGTGGTGTACACTCCCTGCATCCAGAATTTCTCAGTCTCATGGGACGGAGGGAAGGAGGGGGGAGAGGGAGAGGGAGAGGGAGAAGGAGAGGTAGAGGGAGAGGTAGAGGGAGAAGGAGAGGGAAAAGGAGAGGGAGAGGGAGAGGGAGAGAGGGAGGGGGGGAGGGGGGAGAGAGAGAGAGAGAGAGAGAGAAGAGAGAGAGAGAGAGAGAGAGAGAGAGAGAGAGAGAGAGAGAAAACACATGAATGAAACCAGGGCTAATAAGTGGGAAGTCACACCAAATATCTACCAAGTTCAGCAGATAAAGGAGGAGTCAGGAGAGAACAGGTCTCAGCATCAAAGTTGTGTTCCTCTCTTCTCCTCCCAAGTCTGCTCTAACTGGAAGTCTGAAAGGGTCCATGGGCAGCCAGAACATCTAAATCTAGCTCCTCTCACATTTCTTAGATATGGAAGTTCCTAACAGGAGACTCCAGGAGCATGCCCTTTATTCCCCAAACCACCTGTAATCCTACTCCTACCCCTTTTACTTCAAAGGCCCTGTCCCTAGAGAGAATGGGAGGGCAAAGCAAATGAGGCTCCAAAAGATGGTGAGGGAAGAGGAGAGAATCAAGCCCCTGACTGAAAACATATTGGGAAGGAAGAGTTAGATTTGGAAGATTTTAGAAAAGACTGATGCAGCTGCTAAGATCCACCAACCCAAATAAATTTAGGGAAGTTCCTGGGTTCTTTCCCCTACACCTTTCCCAACAAGGTAAACAGAACCAGGTGGTCTAATATATTATAGGGCTCAGGAATTATGGGATTCTGTGGGAGGAGCCTATCAATATACTTAACTCAATGGAGCAAGCAGAGCTGAGTATAATAGTGCTACTCCCCCAAAGACAAAAAGTCTAGGGATCATCACAGAGTACGTAGGACGGGAGACAAGGATCCAGGTTGAATATACATTCAGAGGGAGACAATTTCTAGGAAGGAGAGAAGTGGCTGGAAGTGAGAAGATCTGTGGCTCCAGAGATTTAGATCCAGGTCTGACCAACGGGGTCAGACTTACCTGATGGGGACCAGAGAGCACAGGAAGGCACAAGGGCAAGAGCTGAGACAGATAAAGTCAGAGATGGCTGCAGAGTACTGCTAGGGAGATGGGGGAAGAAATGAGGAAAAGTGACAGGGAGTGGCAAGAGAATGTTAACAATAAGGACACAACCTATGACTACATTGGTATTGGGAACTCCCAGGCAAGGAAACTTCCACTACCAATTTAAGTGCAACTTAAGATTCTAGAGGGTTGCCCAAAGCACTGAGAAGCCAAGTGACTTGCCTCTCAGAAAAAGGTGGCTTCACATCAGGTAAGAGTAAGGAGGGACAAACCGTAAGAGCAGAACCAGGGATAAAGAAAAGAGGGTTGGGATCAGAATGGCCTAAGGAATAAGAGAAGGCCTCTTGCTTACACTGGGTCAGTTTCAGTAAATGACTGACTGACCACTGAGTTCGGATAAACCCTCCCTCCCTCCGCTGCCTTAGGAAAGAAACAAGGCCAGAGCCCACTTCACAAAGCAACAGACTGTGGAAGCTATCAGCATCTCTGATACACAGACCAAAGAGGGAGAGATGAAGGAAACTACTCAAGGAAAAGACAGTGTCACTCAGTGACACAGGCTGAGAACAGAAATAGCCCAGAGGCAGGGGGATCCCAGGCAGATGCCAAAAGTGGCTTCTTTATTCCCTTGGGATAATTGTTTTTTAGTGCCCCACCATTCCCCCCCCCCAGCAGTAAAATCCCTTTGGACAGCTCCTGTTCAGCTGCTTACTTTACTTGGGAACAAGTTCCCCTCCTTCCCCTACAACCAGAAAGAAAAGAGGCCTTGCATTTTTTCCCTAACCTGAAAAGAGGGAAGAAATCGCCCCACAATCCTACCTCAGGTACCAATGTCCAGATCTACACAAGGGGAAATAACCCACGATCCAGGAAAGTGAATTCTGGCTTGATTCACTACGATGAGGTGGGACTGATGGCCCCATCTGACAAGTGCCCAGCTATTACCCATTCTTGCTAATGATAAATTAATTCAGAGCTGTGTGAACAAACAGGCCAAAGTGAAGAACTTCAGGGATCCAAAAGTAAATTACTACCAAACTGTTATAGACCTGGGTCATGAAACAGAGAGTAGGGGAGGGGCAGAGAGAAGAGAAGAAAAGAGAGGAAGGGAGAGCCATGGGACAAAGGACTCAGGAAGCAGGTTGGGGGCTGAAAGAACAGCCTCCAGGGTCTTCACCTCACCCCCCTTGCACTATCAGGGAGATGGGCCAGCCCCAGAGTCTAGTAATTTATGGTCCTTCCTGCACTTGGTGGTACCGGAAAGGCAAGGTGAGAGGGGAAAAAATACGAGGCGGGCTTTTCCCAATCCCCATTTCCTCTCCAGACAGCACGAGAGCGAGCTCCTGGGGCCTGAACATCTGGGAAATTTAATTTTACAATTTCTGTTCTGCAGCCCCCCTCCCAATCCAGTCTCCCCCTCCCCAAACTGTGGTAACGAGAGACGAGGCGGTCTGCATGGAAGGAGGCAGGGGGACTCAGGAAAAGCTTCCTCCTTATGCAGACAGACTCAGCTAGGTAGGGGGAGGGGACCAGGACCTGGCTTTCAAAGGGAAGGAGAAAGGACTAGGCCTTTAGGGCAACCCCTCTCTTCAGGACCTGCCAAGCCCACAGGGAAGCCAGCCCAAGGGGAGGGCATTCCATCTGTCTGACCCAAGAACCATGGTCTACGTACATGTGGGGGTGGAATAGTTCCCTTGGGGCCTCCAAATCCCACCCATTCTTCAGAATGTCTTCCTTTCATCCCCTTACCCCCAATTTCCTAACTGTACTTTCACTCTCCTTTCCAGAGTAAAGACCGGGACAGGAAGACTGCGATCCGGAGTTAGGAGACAAAGGTCAACTCCAGGAAGGGGGTGGGGAAACAGAAGAAGGGGAGATGACAGCAAATGGAGACAAAGGAAAGGAGAAAAAAAAAGTCATACATGTTATACATCTGCCCCTTGATCTCTGGACCCTCTAGGGACATGGGCCTCAGTGCTCTGGACTACTTAGCTCATTGGATAAACCTCCCCCCTATCATGAAGCAGACTCTGGGTTCTTGACATCCTACTAAGAGTACTGTACAGAATGGAAGAGAACCCTGTGTGGTGGACACTTGGTAACTGACTAAGGAAGACTGTGCCCTCTACCTCAGAACGAGGCCATTAGCCAAATCAGCTGTACCTGGGAGAGGAAAAAGGAAAAGCAAGTGGGGTGAGGAGGAGAGGACTATTTGCATACACCCTCCCTACCCACTCCCTTAACCAAGAGTTAAGCATTCCCTCCCTAAAGACCCCAGCCCTCATGGCTTTCTGGTCACTGAAGAACTTTAAACTATTCTGAATTCTGATTTCCTGATCTGATTTTTTTTCTGAATCAATACATGCTGGTGTTTCATGTCATTGATACAATAATATAAAGTCCAAGTCATTTGTATAATTAAAAATTAAAATCATGGGGCCCAAGTATGGAGGTAGACAACTACCTCCATTCCAAGTCCCTTGTTCCTAACACATCTTCACAAGGGCCTTGGAAGTTTTCTAGTCAGAATTCTGCCCTAAAGGGAAATTCTAACACAGGGATCTGTTTCCCAAATGTGCCATCCCTCTGACCAGAAAGGATCCACTGAAGCTGAAGGGCTCACCCCTAAGGAGAGTTAGAAGCCTCTCTCTAAACCGGGTTGGGGAGTGGGGAGGAGAGAGGAACAAGACACGGATGACCTGTGGCCCTCTAGGTCTTTGGCTGTGGCCTTTTGACTGAGTCCAAGTTTTACAGAACAAATCCTGTTATTAAGGGGATTTGTTCTGTGAAGTTTGGATTCAGTCAAAGGGCCACAGGTTCCCCACCGCTGCTTGTAGACCCACTGCTGGTGGGGGTGTAGTACAAACTGAGGTATAGAGGCAGGGCTTCCCCAAAGGGACAGATCACTAATTCTCAGGGTTCTGTTTATACTAATAGTGCCTGTGCCCCAGGCCAGCTACCTGAACCAACAACCACCACGAGAAGCACACACTTCCCAGGCCACCAGGTAAGGTTTGGCCCTGCTCAGGTAACAAAAGGCATCCTATTGAAAGAAAGGGAACTTGAGGAAACAGACCAGGAACACATGCAGGTAAGGGGAGTGGAAAGCAGGATAAGGAAGGCTGCTGCAGGAAGGGATAGAAACAGGAAGAGACACAGAAAGGAGAAACAAAGAAGGCTAAAAAAAAGACAAACAGAATAAGACCAAGAAAGGGTAGTGTGAGAAAGGAGAGATATCAAACAAGGGATGGAGAAAATGACAGAAACAGAGAACAAGAGCCTCAGAGAGCATGGCCAGATTGAGTGGCAGGTTGGTAGGGGCATGCCAGGAAGTCTGATAAAGCTAAAAACTCTGGACTACCTCCCAAAGGAAAACAACCCCTAGTAAATGTGAAGTGGTGGCTAGTTTTGAGGAAATTCCCTTGATGAGGTTAGCCTGGTAAACCTTTGCTCTGCCCTATTCCAACCCCCAAAGAGGTACTAGGAAGCTTCCTTGCCCTGAGAAATATTCTTTTCCCACAGAGTTGGGCCTGCAGGGGATGTGGAAGGTAAGATGAAAAGGTGGAAAAGTAATACTACTTATTCCCCTTTCTGACCACACCCAGAGGGAAAGGGAAGGACCAGAGGGATGCTAACACTTCATCCAGGCCTCCGAGTAGAGGTCCTTCTACAGTCCTAGCCCTGGTGACCTATTTGTAGAATAAGCATAAGAGGAAGAGGTTTTCTTGTTGGGTGATGAACACTGCAGGCCCCAGGTCCTGAAGAGGAGAGAGAGCGAGAGAGAGAGAGAGAGCGCCCAGGCAGCTGCCAAGCAGGGTTTCCATTCAGAATACTGAAATGGCAGTCCACCCTCCCCTCTTCTGCAGAAGCAGCCTGGCCTAATGTACAGTTGAGGTTTTCAGACTTTTAAAATATGGAGAAATGGGGGTTTGAAAAAGTTCCTGCCTGCAGCCCAACCCTTTAGGTCCAGAAGCAGAGAGGCTTCATACCCTGTCAGGGGAGGGATAGGTAATCATACAGGTCAAGCCTGCAGTATGATCTGGGCAAGCAAGCCCTAAGAGAGGGACACGGAAGAGAGGTACATACAATCAAGTGGGAACTCTCACAATAAAAGTAACACCTGAAGTTTGGATTCAGTCAAAAGGCCACAGATTGAAAAGTGCTTAATCTCACAACCACCTTGGTGAAGTGTATGCTAAAGTTGTTATCCCTACTTTACAGATGAGGAAACTGAGGCTTTGAGAAGTTAAGTCCCTTGACCATGATCCCACAGCTAAGAAGTGCTTGAGGGGGGATTCAAGCCCAGCCCTAACATCCCCCAGACATGCTTTCACAAAGAGAAGCACAGTGAGGAAAAGGAGTCCAGGCCCACAAGGGGCTTCTCTAAACCTATCAACACTGCAAATACAGCCTTCACCAAGATGGAAGGGTCCTCAGTGGGCTTAGCTCAGGGCTGCCCCTAACATTCCTGGTCACTTGGTCTCAGCAGGCAGTGGCCCAGGGTGGGGCCCAGCCCTGTCATGGCTCTGATCTACATTAGCAGGGCTATAGCTCTGCAGCAATTTGAGATGGCCCCTCTGTGGTGCTCGATTCATTGCCCACTCCACCCCCCCCATTCATTTCTGCACACCCATTCCTCACAGCCACGAGGTTAACACTGGAAGCCCAAGTCACAAGAGGCAATCCTGAAGAGGTGGAAGGGGCCTTAGGTCATTTATTCCAGCCATACCCAATCAGGAAGCCCTTCTCTGATATCTTGGACACGTGGTCATCACTTGAATGAGCACAAAACATCAGGGCTAGAAAGGACCTTAGTGACACATCAGGCATCTTTTAATCCAGAAGTGAAGTGACTTAAGAGAGCTCCCACAGCTAGCAAATAGCAGTGAGGCGCTGGGCCCACATCAGTAGGGGAGTGGGAAGCAGCCTTTCTACCAAACCATCTTGGAGGAACTCCCTGCTTTCTGAGACTGCTCAATCTACTTTTGAGCTAGACAGCCCTAATGGTTAGGAAGTTTGTATTTCTATGGAGCTGTAATTGGCCTCCCTATAATTTCCACCCATTTCTCCTAGTCCTGCCCTTTGGGGTCAAGCAGAGTAAGTTTAACCCATTCTCCACAATAATTGTCACGCCCCTAAGTATTCTCTTCTCCAAGCTAAATACCCCAAGTTTCCTCTCACCATTCTGATGACCCTCCTTCCGAGGGACATGTCAATACCATTCCAAAAGTGGAAAGTGATCTCAGAACTGAACCAAATGAACCAATATTCCAGCTGTGACTGATCCAAGGCAGAGGACAGAGGGACTGCTACCTCCTTAAATGGACACTGAAGGGAGGCACTGTGTCAGAGCTGACAGCACACTGGGACTAAAAACCAGGAAACTCAGAATCATAAAAAGAAATGGAAGGGCTTGGCTTGTGGAGGTCATATAGTCCAACACCCCCCTTATACAAACGAGGAAACTGAGGGCCAGGTTAAATGGCTTTGTCAAGTTCACCCATACTGAGAACTAATATCTGAACTCAGGTGCAACGACTCCAAATTCGGTGCCCTTTTACATGCAATTATGCTAGGTTCAAATCCAACCTCCAACACTTAAAAACTGGACAAGTCACTTCGGTTTCCTAATCTGCAAAATTGGTATAACAACCACAGAATTCACTTCAAAGAGCTACTGTGAGTCTCAAGTGAGATCACACATTTAGAGTATTTTGCAAAATTTAATGTACTCTCAGCATACAGACTGGACATGTGATTTCACTGGCATGGGGAACTCTCAGATGAGAAAACTCCCTCTTCCAAAGCAGGTAGGCAACTTCTCTGCAACTCAGAATCTTACAGAGCTCTCTACATTACTAAAAGGCAAGTAACCTGTCCAAGAGAGTCATCCAGTAACAAAGGCAGCACTTGAACCCAGGTATTCCTGGTTTTCAGATCAGCTCAATAGAATCCGAAGGCTTTTTCACATGAACACTGTCTAGCCCTATCTCTCCTGGTCTGTCAGTAGGCACTTATTAAATATCCACTATGTACCAGGCACTGTGCTAAGCACTGGGGATTCAAAAAGAGGCAAAAGACAGCCCATGCCCTCAAGGAGCTCACATCACAATCTAATGGGGGAGACAACAAGCAAACAAATATGCACAAACAAGCTACATATGAGATAAACAGGAAATAATTAGGAGAGGGAAGGCACCAGAATTAAGAGAGGTTGGGAAAGGCTTCCTATAGGAAGGACCTTAGCTGGGACTAGGAGGAAGCCAGAAGGCAGATATGAAAAGGGACAGGCATGGTGGACAGCCAGAGAGAATGTTCAGAGATAAGAGATGGAGTATCTTGCTTGTGGAACAACCAGGAGGCCAGGGTCACTGGATGGAAGACAATATGCAGGAGAGAAAGGTATAAGAAGACTGCAATGGAAGAGGAAGGACTAAGTTATAAAGACCTTCAAACACCAAAGGAACTTATGCACTTGATATTTTTTTAACCTAGGCCTTTTTTTTTTATTACGTTCACCATCATTCCCTAGGAAGTCAAATATATATCTATATGGCCTCATGGAAAGAGGGCTGGGCTTAGAGCAAGAGAATTTGGGATTGAATCCCTCTTCTATCACTTATTACCTTTTTGAGTTTTGGAAAGTCCTTTAATCTCCATGGGCCTCAGTTTCCTCATCTGTAAAATGAGGGAGTTAACCTATAAGGTCCCTTCCAGTTCCACAACTATGACCTCAGGATCTTCTGACCCTCCTTACTACTGACCTCCCAGGCTCTGAATGCAGACCTAGTTGACTTCAAGGATGGGCAATATTCTTTTCAGAGCTGGGAGGAGACCAGAGAGGCCACAGAGTACAATCCATATCTAAATAAAAATCTCTTTGTAAAACATCCCCTGAGAAATTTTTCAAAGCATGGTCAATACCTATCTACTTTGTAGATACTAGGGTGAGCTCTAAAAGGCTATGACCTATTATTCATCACCCACCCCAACTCTGGGCCCCCATGCCATGGCTACAGTACTATAAACTGTAGCCTAGTTTTGGACTGGAAGTCAGCGCTGGCTAAGGGAGCCAGACAATTCTTTTAACTCCTATAAAGGACAGTAAAGACCACAGAACAACAATTTGCTTTCAAGAAGCCACTGGGCACACGGGTTAGGTGTGGGAGGAGTGGGGGAGGTGGAGCTTTTGTCACATAACACATGTCTCCTAAAGAGAAATCTCATTTATCTCTTTTCCTAAGACTCAGCCCCACTGCACGAATGCACCAGTCCAGTGGTGATTTAAAGCTGGCTTCCCTCCCCCCTCAATTCTGCACAGCTGGCCAGCCATTAAAATCTTGCAGGTGACAATTATAGTTTAGTAGTAAGAGCTGCACTAAGCACTTGCAAGAAGAAAGGTTGAGCTGGTGGGGGAGGGTAAAGTACCTGGTAAAAATGGGGAAGGTAAAGAGATCTTA